TTTGGTCAGCCGCGATTTTTTTAAACGGTCGTTTCTCGCCTCGACTCCTGTGCTTTCACTTATTAGTGATTGGCACAGTCTGAGGTCACAACCTGCAAAGTAGATTATCTTCCTAAATAGGAAGATTGGGTTTTTGTTTTTATTGATTCAAACTCTTTTATAAAAACCCCCAAGCCTGCTTCTTCTTCTCCAAGCCTAACGTTTGAAAGAGAACCAGAGAGCTCTGTTTCTTCCTGAGAAAATTTTCAAATCAAACTTGTTCTTCTGAGTTCTTGTGTGTGCTTCACTTCCCAGCTTCAGTACTCTTCTCTTTGCTATAGGGGCTTGTGTAAAGAGAGTGTCTTGCATTTATCTTCTGCTGCTGTGAGTGAGATCTTGTGTAGATCGACTGTGAGGGAGTGTGATCTGTGAGATCAACTGTGTAGTGAGAGAGAGATCTTGTGGGATCATTGTGTAGACGAAGTTCCGGCTTCCAAACCGGATGTGTTAGTGGATTTCTCCTCGAGAGTGGGGAGCGGGGACGTAGGTCAGCGGGCCGAACCTCGTTAACACATCGCGCGTCAAGGATAACGATTCCTATCTTTATCTCTTTCTTTATTATTGCACTTCTGTTACTGTGGTTTGTTTGTACTGTTTTTTTAATTGCATATTAGAGCCTCTTGACTCTACTACACCAGACCTGACATTGCTTATGCAGTAAATAGACTTAGTAGATATACATCAAATCCTGATAAGAGTAATTGGGATTCTCTAGAAAGGATCTTAAGATACCTAAAAGGAACTATGAACTATGACTTACATTATAAAGGTTATCCATCTGTATTAGAAGGATACTCAGATGTAAATTAGATTAGTGACTCAGTAGATATAAAATCCACCAATAGATTTGTGTTCCTTTTAGGAGGAGGAGCTGTTTCATGAAAATCTACTAAACAAACTGTAATGGCTAGAAGTACAATAGAATAAAAAATGATAGCTCTTGATACTACTAGTATAGAAGCTGAATGGTTGAAAGATTTACTAACTGAAATTCCATTAATACAAAAACCATTACTAGCTATCTCTATTCATTATGATTACAGGTCAGCGATTGACAAATATCATCAAGAGAATGCAAATATGAAAATGAATTGACACTTGAAAGTGTGACATAAATCCTTGAGATATAAGATTAAAAAAATCATATAATAGCCTTAGAATTTGGAAGATCAGAGAAAATATTACATATCACTTAACTAAAGTCTTATCTAGGGCATTGGTCCTAGAATTATCGAGGTAGATGGGATTAATCCCATAAGAAAAATCACTGCAGTGGCAACCCAACCTCGCAGAGGTTCAATGGGTAGAAACAACCTGAACGAGTGATTAATTGTGAGGCGCACTGAATTCATTTGATCCCATCCCTAAGATGATTAGTGCTAATAAAAAGCAAGTGAAATGTTAAGTTTAAATGTTAAGTTTAACTCTTAATGAATCCAAGACCCATGAGGCAAGATGCTTACTTGCTCGCATTATTATTAGGATTTACCTATATGTGTAGTTGTGAGGCCGCGACTAAGAGATCAGAGCTACTCCCTAGTAACACACATGAAAGATACATGCGCAAGGCCAATAATAGCACAACCCGCTTAGAATTTTTTAAAACTATACTATGTGTGCTTTCTGTAGAAATTCGACAAATGGGACTGGTTCAAAGCGTAGTCCACCAAGCTCTCACAGATCTATACAACTGTCACTAATTGAAGGTTCAAACTGAAAGGTACCTTCACCTATTACATAGTATAAGGGAACAAACAATCTTATTTTCAAAGTTCTTCTTTTACTCTTATTTCTGAATTATTTTAAGTTTTAAGTTATGCGACGGATTGTCGAAACTGTAACTTAAACTTAGGAATATTTGGTCCCAAATTGGATCTCTAAGAGTAGACGTCTCAATCAACCAGAAGACACGACTAGGCGAGACGACAACTCTTAGTCGACACAAAAGACGAAATGACAGGACGAGTCGACACCCTCTGGTCAACACGAAAGGCGGTATGAGTCGACACCTCAAGTGTTCGGACTCGGAGTCGGGTCACTTCGAAAGTTGATGTTAGTCGACACGAATGAACGAACAAGACAACGAGACGAGACAACACCTTCTAGTCGACACGAAAGACAGTGTTAGTCTTCACGACCGAACGAATGAGACGACACCTTCTAATCGACACGAAAGGCGATGTTAGTATTCACGACTGAACGAACGAGATGACACCTTCTAGTCGACACGAAAGGCGGTGTTAGTCTACACGGCCGAATGAATGAGATGACGAGACGAGACGACATCTTGAGGACTCGGACTCGAGGTCAGGTCAGTTCGGGAGGCGTGCGCGCACTCGGCCCTAACCTACTACACTTTAAATTCCTATTGGAATAATCAAAATGTGAATAACATTAAACTAAGCATTAATGGGCGAGACCAGTGGATCTAGAGGGCGAGATTGGCAGACATGACAATTGGAAAACGACTAGGATTAAAACGTATTAATTGCCGTGGGATTTATGGACTTAAATGGCTAGCTAAATAAAAGGAAAACAGTTAGCATATTTAATATATTTAGTGAGGCGTGAATGATGGATCTAAAAGGCATGAATATTAGATCTATAGCTGTCAGCCTTAAACCCTATAAAAGAACCTACAGCCACAAAAGTTAAAATATAGTGAAAAATATAACAATACTTCTCTCTTCTTCTTCTCTTTTTGATTTAGAACTTCTTGCTGTTACTCCTTTGTAGGTTCCCTGAAAATTTACGAAGAATTCGCAAAGCCTTCTTGAAGCTCGTGCCGACGAGAAAGAAGTCGTCTGACCGAGGGTCGTAGTATCTCTAGAATCCATTGCCGTGTAGCCATGTACAAGAGAGGACAATTAGATTCTTGGGACAATGCTTTGTATGCTTCGATCATCAGACCGAATTTCTAAACTTTATTTATTTACTTTTGAATCAATTTCATTTTCGTGTTATAAATATTAACCCGTCATTATCTAAAATTTTTACTATCTTTTCAAAACTAATTCTTTTTCATATTGATTACAATCTAAAAACAATCTGTTTCTAACAATAGAAACCTTGAAAATCACCAAACGCGTTAAATAAAATCACACAAGATTTAACATGGATAAAGACTGCCAATCTCTCTCTCTCTCTCTCTCTCTCTCTCTCTCTCTCTCTCTCTCTCTCTCTCTCTCTCATTACCCTTGAACACGATCACACCATTTTTTAAACCCTGATAACAAAAATATTGTCTCTTTTCCTCTCCCTACTTAAAAAACCCTAGAATAGAATGTCTTATTTAAAAAGACCCTTGACTTGCCTATTGAGTCAACTTGGCTTTCAAAGAAAGCTGTTAACTTAGCCTCTAAGCAAACTACTAAGACTAAGCCAATCCTTCAAATTCGGATCTAACTTAAAGTTTGAGTTGATACCCAGCAATAGAAATTATCCTTATTCATTCTTTATCAAAACTACGAAATAAGATGCAATAAGCGCTCTCTATTTCTCTTACTAAGAGCATCTCCAACCCAACCCCAAAAACCCATTTTGACGCAAATCCAGCGCCAATTCTTCCTCCAACCCAGCGCCAAACTTAGAGTCATTTTAAAGGGGTGCTACAGTGTTGTGACAGGAATGACGCAACATTGTAGACATGGAGATTTTGGTTTTTCCCATGTTTGCCCTTATAGTTTGTTATAACAAATTAAATATTCCAATCATATCTCATTTTATAGTTTGTAAATAGAAGTAATATTCTTTTTAATGTAAAATTTGGTGTAATGATTAGAGATGAAAATAATGATTTGATGTAAAAACTACATCAACTTGATGTAAAAACTATACCATTTTGAGTTTTTTGGTTGAAGATGCTCTAAGCTCCCTCACAAAGATAATGTCTTAGAAAGAACACTTTGGTTTCTGCTCATAAACTAAAAAAAAAGAGAGAAAAAGGAAGTCGTGATTGTATTCAAGTACATAGAACGTGAGGTTTTTTGAAATTCAATAAGCACAAGAATTTTTTCTGCTAACTTTGAAAGTAAACAGTGTCAGAAGTTCCTAGTTCATTAATAAATTAAATACAATAATTAATTAACACTAATTCCACATAGTTCCTTTCGCTGTCAGCCCACTTGTCTTCTCTATTGTCCCGGTCAAACTTACTAATCTGACACAATTAACAACCTCATTAACTCACTAATTCCGTTCTAAACAACTCAGTTAAAATTCTCTCAGTTTATTGAATGGTTTAATTTCACTACACCCCCCGAACTTTGAGAGGTTTTTTACAAAACATGCCAAACTTTGTTTATATCACATAAATTATCTCACAAAACCTTCCAAAACTTTAAACATTTATCACTAAACCCTCTATATGTAATTTTCCAAACTACAGGTGAGGTCTGGCGAGAAAAGGTTAAAGTTTAGGGGAGCTTTGTGAGGCGCACGGAAGTTTTAGAGAGGTTAATGAGATAAACAAACTACAACGAACGCATGTAAAAAACCATCCAAAGGTTAGGGAGTTTCGAGGAATTAACACTTTTGAACAAATAAAAAAGTAAAAAAGAACAGTTTTTTTTTTGTTTTTGTTTTAGTCACTAATTTTACATTGCCTTCTGAGTTTTTAGAACCTAATAGCCATAATATCAATGACTTGGAGAAATAATCTCTCTCTTTGTTGCCACATTCTTCGCTCTTGACAGTAGGAACTAAATTTTCAAAATTAATATAAGAATCGAGAGACCATATAGCAGCTTCAAAGGCCTGAAGGACAAACTCGTAATAATTTGAAACCGAAGAGACCTCATTGCAATTTTAGAGATGTGAGGGACCAATTCAGAATACGAAAGATGTAAGGGACTGCTATCGAAAAAAGAAACTGTACTAGAGAGAATCTATCCACCCTCAAGTTGCAATAAAGAAACGTACCCTCCTCGTGAGCCCCTCTCTCTGGAGAAAAAGTAGAGAAGACGGAGAGAGAGAAAAAAAAAGTAAAGAAACGAGACAAACCAGTCTCTCTCTCTCTCTCTCTCTTCTTCTTCTTCTTCTTTCTCCAGTCTAAAAACAAGGAGATCAGAAGAAATTTATTTATTGAGATTAAAAGAGAGAGAGAGAGAGAGAGGGGAGAAATAGGAGATCAATGACTTCAGGAGGGGGGAGGCTGCCAACGTGGAAGGAGAGAGAGAACAACAAGAGGAGAGAGAGGAAGAGGAGAGCCATTGCTGCTAAGATCTTCACTGGTCTCAGGACTCTCGGTAATTATAAGCTACCCAAGCACTGCGACAACAATGAAGTCCTCAAAGCTCTCTGTGCTGAGGCTGGATGGATCGTAGAAGAGGATGGCACTACTTACCGCAAGGTAATTTTAAGCTTACAGATCTCTCCTTTTTGATGTTTGGAATGATGGGTAGGGATCAAAACTATTTCTTTTTATTATTATTGTTGTTTTTGGCTTTAATTTTAGGATGTAATTTTATGGGTAAGCATTATTTATTTTTGTTTTTAAGTTTATGGGTTTCTCCTTCTTGATTGGTGTTGGGAATGATGGGTATGGATTTATTTTTATATCTTCATTTTACTTTCCGCTTTGATTTTAGGATTTGGACAGAAAAGAGCCCTCCTTATTACTGATATCAATAATGGGTGTTTGGTAATTGATCCATAAGGGGAACTAATCTGATAAGTTTCCCCATTTTTTATTTTTTTTAATTTGATTTCTAGTGTTACTTTTAATTATTTTTAAGCCAGCGAGTTTAGTTTTCCTCTCTCTATGTGGTGTTAGGCTTTAATTTGTTCTTTTTATTGATGATTGCTCTGGAGATTTGATGAGATCTATCTCCTCATTTATTGGACTTAAATTAAATTGGGGAAGAATGGGCATTAAATTCTTGATCTACATTTGCATGCATTTTGTACTAAAGTTCAGGAAATCTAAAGATCGTTAATAATAATATTTTCTTCTGTTTTTAGGATGATTTTCTTTCTGATCTTGAATTCCTAGAAGAAATTTGTGATAGCTTTGCTTATGTGATGCTTCTTTTTTCACCCCTTACAGTGCTTTCTTTCCCTCTGAAAGTTTTGAGCTTTAACTATATAAAAAAAGAATCAACTTTGTCATCTCTTTCTCTTTTGACCGGGTGTCTTTAGTGCTAGTCTTCTGCCAATTTTTTCCCCTCATTGCCCAAGAAGTTAAGTGCTTCCCTTGTGATCAGATTGTGGAGATTTGTGTCTTTTAGTACTCAACTTTCTCATCTTTGTTGCTTTCCCTTTGTTTCTACTGATGCAAAGCAACAGGGTTTTGAGAGGGTTTTGTTGTGAACCTTGCCTTGTCCTAACTTCTGCAAAGCAGAAGAAAACAGGGACATAAAAGAACTAAGAACTTTTGCTTGCTTGGTCAAGGTAAACAAGGTCATGACATGAAAAAACATTTTTGAAACACATCAAAGAGTTCAAAACAATATGCTTGAACTACCTCAACCAATGCATGAATTAGAGATAAAACTGACTTATATTCTCGTTGCTGCTAGAGCAGCAAAAAGATTTAGGCTCTATTCTAAATCAAAGGAGAAGATTAACCTTTCAGCATTTTCATTACTTAAACGGTTGTTGTTAATGATTGCGTTGTAAAAAATTTGTGCTGTTTATCTTTGTGCAAGAGACCAGATTGAAGCGAGTAGTGTTGTACTTTGCCTACTTTTTTCTTGCCCTTATACGTCAAAATGATTCGCAGAAAGGAAAGAAAGTGAACACTGATGACATGAATAAATGAAATTCAATCATGTTAAATAACACTTACCAGCACATTTTGATCCCTTGAAGCCACTCATGCCTGTGAATTAATTCTTAAAAATGTAACGGTTAGAAACTAATTCCTTTGCCTGCCACGCCTCGCTTAAATCAATAAAATGAAACTATCATGATTCTTGGGAAGGAGGTTTGCTTTCTAATTTAGTGATCAGATCATGGAGATTCAAGCGGTTTCTGTTTTAACTTTTAATTTGTTTTGTCCAGTTTTCTGTGTTCTCTCTCTTCTCCATCCTCAAAGCATTGTTTTTCTTCTCCCTTTGATTTTACCCTAAAATCTTCACATCGTGGTTTAACCCAAACAAAAAGGAACAACAACAGAACACCTTTACTCATTTTTTGCTCCAAAGGAACAAGAAATCCATGGCATTTAACCATTATCTCCTCCAATCCTATAAATGCCATATTATACCCCAAACCTTTGTTAACCCTGTACTATTCTCAAATCTTCATATTTCTACATTAGACCTCCAAGTCTTCATATTTGTTCAAAATGGGGGCCTTATTTACAGCCACTTAGTACATATGGGGGTCTTATTTAAACAGCTTAATAGATTTGGAGATCTTATTTAAACAGCTTAACGGATTTGGGGGTCTAATTTAGAAATATGAAGGTCTGGGGTTCTAATGTAGAATTAACAAAGACTTTGGGGGTCTAATATAACAAACCCTAAAAATGATTATGCTTGAAAACAATAGAAAACTGAACTCTTTTTTTTTTATAACTGTGACAGGGATGCAAGCCACCTCCACCACCTCCTGAGGCAACAACTGGCGGCGGCCCATCAACAAACATAAGCCAATGCTCCTCCTCTCATCACCTCAGCCCAACCTCCTCTTCCTTCCCTAGCCCGGTCCCCTCCTACCATGCTAGCCCCTCGTCTTCTTCCTTCCCTAGTCCTAATCGTCTTGATGCCTCAAACCCTAACCCTAACCTCACCCCCTCCTATCTCCTCCCTTTCCTCCGGAACTTCTCCCTTCCTCCTCTTCGTATATCTAACAGCGCCCCCGTAACTCCTCCCCTCTCATCCCCAACCTCATCTCGGCCGCAAAAGCTCAAGAAACCGGATTGGGATTATGCAGTTCATCGTCATCCTTTATTCAACGCTTCAGCTCCTTCGAGCCCAACGAGAGGCCATCGCCATCCTTTATTCAACGCACCGATACCAGAGTGTGATGAGTCTGATGTATCTACCGTCGACTCTGGTCGTTGGGTTAGTTTTCAGATGACGGCTCCTTCGTCTCCTACATTTAATCTCGTCACGGGGCCTGTTGTTGGCCCCGGAGGAGTGCCGGAGAAAGGGAGAGGTGCTACTGAGTTTGAGTTTGAGAGTGGGACTGTGAAGCCCTGGGAGGGGGAGAGGATTCATGAGGTTGGAGTCGAGGATCTTGAGCTCACTTTGGGGATGGGAAATAGCAATGCAAAGTGAAGCGTGCCTCTCAGTTTTACCTGGAAATTCTAGCAGCGTTGTTGTGCATGCTCACAAATTCTTTCTTTGATTGCGTTAAGAGTTGGAAGTGTTATTAGCTACTTGTTTTAGTGGGAGTGGGGTGATGGAAATATTTTACGAGATTGCCCTCGGAGGAGTTTCTCTGAACCTTGTAAATGTTTGAGGAATGGGGAGGGTTTATTATTTACTCTTGTTCATTTGGTCAATTGAAACTGTAGAGATGCTTGTTTTTAGCAGGGCTGGGCGTCAATTTGTAGTCTTGTTTCAGTTTCAAACAGTTAAAAAAAAAATTGGGCATGTGGGTTTCCTGGTGTGCTCCATGGATGCTTCTCTTCCTTAGATGGAACTGATTTCGGTGATGGAAGCTAAAAAAAGGTACATTAATTGCATATAATGATATAATTTAGTTCTTATCCAAAATTTTGGCAGGCATTTCTGGGTCAAAGAGGGGGCACGAGGAGACCAGAGTGGCCCCTGTTAAGCATGTGGGATGATGTATGTGATCATGTGATGGCTCAGCTGACCTCTTTCTCACTGTATGATGCCCTCATCCACCATACCCTGCAGACAACCCACTGCCCCAAAAAAAAATATATGGGGCCAATGAAAATGCCAAATGTAGTGAGAAAGGCTTACAAAAATCAGGAAATCAGTGGCAGGGTACCCTAAAACCAACATTACCAATGCCTTCAGAACTTCGTAGGGAATCCCCATGGGCTTCCCTGGAACTGGTCAGTGGTATCTCAGAAAGATAATTAAAACTCTAAATCAAGATCAGAAACTCCCCTGGGAATAGACCATGCAAGCCTGGACTCACGGAACAATATTTTTAAAGATCCGTTTTAGAGCTTCATGGCCAGTAGGATTCAAAAACCTGGCTTGGCGTGATTGCATGTTAAAAAAACGCTGCCGCTGTATCAAAACGCTGAAGTTATGATGAGTTGAGAGCTGTCATTTTATTGTAACAGGGAAAATTAGCATTCTCATTTCTAAAATATATGCTCAGATACATATAATCTACTGCCATAAGTCATAACCTGGGAAGCAACACGTGAGATTTAAATCAGCATAAAATACCAAACATACAACATAAATGTTAGTGACATATTAGCAGATGAGTAACCAAACAACAAGAAAACTACAAGCAGCATGACACACGCTGTACACAACTTTACACTGAGGATCAATTAGATTTCTCCGTTAGAAAACTACATGTAGTTACCCTAAATCAAGCTTTTAAGGAGCATGCCTCATCCATCACCTCGCAAATTGCCACAGACCCCTCCATCTTTGTTTTCATCTCTTTGGCTTTAGGACGAATACACTCTCCATATCTGAAGCAACTGGAGAGATGGTCATTGACGAGGCCGGCTGCTTGCATAAACGAATAGATCACTGTTGGGCCAACGCAACGAAAACCTCTCTGCATCAAGTCTTTACTCATGGTTTCGGCTTTGGGGGTCTTGGTTGGCACTTGGCGAGCATAACGAAAACCATTTATGATCGGTTTGTGGTTCACGAAGCTCCAGCAGTAGCGGCTGAACGAACCAAATTCCTCCATGATCTTGGAAATATAACAATAAATGATGTCAGTTTTGCATGAGCTTCATACGCCATGTTACTTAGGTTGTGCATTAAAAGAAAAAACAAAAGGTCCTGTAAGGTAGATTGCAAAGATATGATTCATTTCAAAGTGATGATAGATAAGAATCACAACTGTTTCAATCTTTGTGACATGGTATTATGTCGGTTACAAACATGCTCCTGGCTTAAATATATCCCCAATTTTATTGGTTAACTTGGCTGATTAATACAGAAGTATTGAAGCATGGAGGTAAATTGATTTTATATACTAAGCAATCAAGTGTTTTGCCCCCTCTTTTGAGGAAATCAAGCTTTTCAATCAATCATTGATGGAATGGATCATTTGGGATACCAGAAATTTAAGCTTTAAAATGGCTGGGTTCACTCTAACCGTATCCAATGTGCTCAATAATCTATCAAACAAACAAATTGTTAAAGAAACTATCAATGGACTATAGGCACCAATAACTTCAAAACGAGATCAGCCACTAAAGGGAGTGGTCCAGCTTGTAGACAGGACCCATAATCTGATGAATATATTACTGAATGAGATGAAACAATTAGTCAAAATAACTTCGGAGCATTAACTGAAACATGGAAGCATTTTAAAACTGTAACATGAGCATAACTCTATTGCCAAGAAGCAGGACCGCTATCTTTTAGCCTATATATAGATCCAAAAATAATTCGGAGATGCTAATGACCTGTTTGATAGTAGTACTGTGTAAGTGTACAAATTGAAAAACCGGCATATAAATAAAAAGCAAATAATATTAATTACACATATTAGGACTAGACTTGTGAAGTTCCAAATAAATTTAGTTACCTTGAGCATCTGTTTTGCATTCTCCACCACTGCCCGGAATTTTTGTTCAGACAATAATAAGCTGCCACTTGATTTTAGTGATGCTATCTTCTTCTCACTGAACTTAGCAACAGAAGAAGCATCAAAGCTCTCAAAGATCTTCCTGTTAAAAATAAAGTAACTCTATTTAGAAACTTTCAGAAGGATGGGAAGCAATTAGGACAATATTAATACTTTAATAACCACATAGTCTCAATATTTAAGGCCTATTGTGAATACACCCCTGTAGTATAGCCCAATTGCGAATAGACCCCTTGACGTAGTGGCCAAAGTGTGAATACTTCCCCGTAGTTAACTTTTTCGACTCCTTTACTAGTCAAAAAACTTGTAATTGGGGATCTATCCTCACCAGTATAACTATAAAGGGTCTATCTTCCTCAAAACATTTTTGACTATTTTGAGAGCAAAAAATAAAAACATAAAAAATAAAAAAAATCAGGTGCCCTAATCGCACAAATGGAACTATAGGGAGTCTATTTGCAATGGGCGATACTACAAGAGTCAATTCAAAATTAACACAATGTTAAATGTACCGAAATATGTCTCTCTTGTTAAGAATTGTGGGCCAACTGAGTTCAGCTAAAGCTTGTGACAAAATAAGCAGCTCGAATAACTTTTGATCATCATGAACTGGGACTCCCCATTCTTCATCATGAAAGGAAACACAGACTTTCTCTACAATAAAGCAAACAAAGAGAATATTAAGGATCAAATTTTAGAATGTATCACAATGTAATCTCATTGACATAATAGGTTGTAAATGGTATTGATTAACAAAGCAGACACCCAAAGTTAAATGTCGTAAAACATCATCATATTCTGCACAAAAAAATTAACCAAACATTTATGGCTGTTATTTACCAGGCATTAAACGCCTACGAATCCCAACTCATGACTGATATAAGAGCATACTAACCCTAAATCCCTGACACTTAGCTAGCAGGTAAATTGACCTAAATTTTTGGTCTGGTAGTGTAAAGCACTTGCAACAAGGATTTAACCTCCATTTCTCCTGGACTGGCAAAGACTCTAAATAAATCATCAACATGATATTACTAAAGAAGGAATCATGTCAATGACTGAAAAACTGCTATTAAATTAACTTTTAGTATTTCATACCTCAACTCTATTTATTTATTTAGATATTATTAGCCAACATCAGTTTGCATAAGTTGACGCTATTAGCTAATGTCAAGGATATTGATTGGCTCCTGTTGGATCTCAACATGATTTAAATTCAAAACAACCTTGGAGCTTCACGCATTGCCGCGGAATGTGTTGAATAAAATGTTGGAAAATATTGCTATTGTTTCATCAAGACAGAAGATTACATTGTAGACGCAACCTTTCCCCTTGTTAATAGGCAAGGGCATAATTATATAGTTTGTCACGGTTATTTGACCTATTACATTTTCCACAAGAATTTACATCATCCGTTAAAACTATAGTTTCTGAGTCATTGTTTTGAGTGGGAACTATTAGAAGAGAGTATGAGTATTAGTTTAGCATTAGTTATGAGTATTAGTTTAGCATTAGTTTAGTCCCACATTGCCTGTGAGACTAATTTGTAACTAATCCATCTCTATAATTAATAAAGTATAGAGTGAGGGAAAACTCTCCCAAGAAATTCAGTTCTCACCAAATCTTAACATGGTATCAGAACCTATCCCTAACCCCAATCCTAATACTAATCCAAATTCCTAACCCTAACCCTAACCATAGGCCGCCCAATCTTGAGTGAAAAAATACCACAACTTCGGTCTTTTTCAATATAATCATCACGTAATAAATCAACAAAACCTAAAGTCATCTCATGTTCCCCTTCCATTTTACCTACTACTATACCAGCGTGAATATGATCTCCACCAGACATACGTAATGCTTTAGCTAGTACACAAAAATGCATACCATGATTTTTCTGTCTATCAATAACCACCAGACATACGTAATGCTTTAGCTAGTACACAAAAATGCATACCATGATTTTTCTGTCTATCAATAATTGCATGCATTGCGCGGTGGATGTGAAGAAGTAGACCATTGTTGCGGCAATAATGAGCCTATCCCTAGCCTTAACCGTAATATTAATCTAAATTCCTAAGCCTAACCCTAACCTTAGGCGGTCGCCAGTCTCCAAAACTTTAGCCGTCAAAACCTAGCCGCTTTCTCCAAAACCCAAGCCGCCTCTCTCCAAAACCCTAGCCGCCAAAACCCTGCAACCGCCTTATCGTCCTCATCTTTCTTGTCCTCGCCATCGTCATCGCCCTCATCTTCCTCAATAACTCCTTGTCCTCATCCATCCGATCCATGTCCTTATCCTCGAGCTTCTCCCACCCAACGCGACAACTCCCACCCGACACCGCTCGCCGTTGATGACCGCCACCACCATGAGGCATTCGCTCGCCGCCACCATGCTCGCAGCTCTCTTTTTGTTTTCGGATCTTAATCAGATCTATGAGTTATCCTGTAAAAATAAAAAAAACCTTCGGGTTCCATCTTAACCTTCGGGTTCTTAATCTTTAACCTTCGGGTTTCATGTTAATTTTTGGGTTCTTGCATTTTAACCTTCGGGTTCAAATTAAACATTCGGGTTCTTGGACTTGTTCAGCTTACTAGCTAATTTAAGACTTATTTTTTGAACTTGGACATTCTTTGATTGTTTTCATTTTGGAGTATAACTTGTGGAGAATATTGTCTTGAACTCTACTTGTCTGTTTCATAATGGCCAGATCCGAGAAACTCAAGAATTCTGAGTTAACGGTCCAGACGAAAGTTTCGAAGATATTTTCTGATAGAATTACTGACCGAAAACTTGATGGACTTAACTATTTCTAGTGGAAGCGTGTTATTAAAATCTACACTATAGGCCAAGGCAAAACTGGCTATTTGTTGACAGACCCTCCTACTCCGACACCGGAATCTTGGACATTGAACAATAGTGTCCTCTTGCATCAACTTCTTAATACTACGGAGCCTAAAATTCAAGATTTAGTTCTTCATTGTATGATAGTGAATGAACTTTGGTATTTTTGCAAGATCTCTATGGGGGTAGCAACAATATTAATCGGGCATATGAAGTAATTCAAGAGCTATTTTGTAAGAAACAGGATGGTAAACTCATAGATAATCATTATGGTGAGTTCAATCGTCTGGCTGAGGAACTTCGTCAAATTTTGCTATTACTAGGGATGTAAAACAAATGCAGAACCAATGAAACAAATTTATGGTACTCACCTACTTGGGCACTCTAAATTCTATTTACTCCTCTGCTCGACCACAAATCATGGAGAGCTCCGCCATTAGTTCTCTGGCTGAGACTTATCACTTTCTGAAGAACACTGTCCCTGCACAGTCACTCACATCCACTACGGATCGCTCTGCACTTGGTAGTCTTATGGACGAGGAAGTCATATTGGTGGTCCTGGAAGAGGTAGAGAAAACTTTAAAGAGGGATGAGGTTACCACACTGGTCGTTCTGGAGACCACAATGATCAACGAGGTGGCCGTGGAGGTCCATCTAAAGACAGACATGCTCATAACGATGACTCAGTAAAGACTTATAACTACTGCCACCAACTAGGACATCTCAAATATAATTATCCTGAATTAGAAAAGAAGAAGGCCAATGGTGCTTACATGACTGCTCAGGATAACCTCACTTCATCTAATAGTAAAATTCAACCACAGCACTCTTCTATGATGCAGAGCTGTAACGTCAATTTTAGCAATTTTAATTATTTCAGCAGTACCAAAATTCACAAACATCGTCTTTCTTTTTATCCGCTACTCTCAAAAGTACAGATACCCCTTTATCTTTACTTACATCATCTTCGTCTCATACTTGGATTATAGATACAGGTACCATTGATCATATGACTGGAAATCAAGGTATCATGTCATCTTTCTCTCCTACATCTAATTCAGTTAAATTAGCTGATGGTTCATATACACCTGTTCAAGGTATCGGCAATACCAATCATATCCCGAGTCTTTCCATTTCCTTCGTATTCTATCTTCCTAGTTTTTCCTATAACTTTTTATCTGTTAGTAAGATTACTAAATTACTAAACTGTACTGTGACATTTCAGAACTTGGTCACAAGAAAAACGATTGGAATGAGACATAAGCAAAACGATCATTATAAACTGAACTTGGACGCAAACATTTAGCTTGTATTGAAAACTCATTAGCTCTACAATATCACTATCAGCTAGGACATCCATCTCTCTCTGTTCTCAAGCTTCTAAATCCTCAATTCAACTCTCTTTCCTCATTAGAGTGTGAGTCGTGTCAACTTGGCAAACACCATCATGTGTCTTATCCTAATCGAGTTAATAAAAGGGCTGCTAAGCCATTTGATCTTGTTCATTCTGATGCCTGGGGTCATGCCCCATAACTTCTAAATTGGGATTCCGATACTTTGTCAGTTTTGTGGATGATCACTCTCGCGTTACTTAGATTTATTTTCTCAAGTCTAGGTCTGAAGTCTTTTCTACTTTTAAACTCTTTTATTTTGAAATAGTCAATCAATTCAAGACTTCAATAAAAAAATTTCGATCTGATAATGCAAAAGAATATTTGGATGACAACTTTACTAGTTTCCTTAAATAACATGGAATCCTTCATCAGTCTTCTTGTGTTTACACTCTTTAGCAAAATGGAGTTGTTGAGCGAAAGAATAGACATCTCTTTGATATTGCTCGGACCTTGCTATTCCATCGTCGCGTTCCCAAAGAATTTTGGGAGGAAGCTATCTTAACAGTATGTTACTTGATTAATCAAATGTCCTCTTCTGTTCTACAAGATAAAATTCTTTTTAAAGTTCTATACCCCAACGATGATCTCTTTCCGCTTGCTCCAAAGATTTTTGGCTCTCTGTGCTTTGTTCATAATCACAATTCAAATAAACAAAAGTTTGATTCTCCGTGGTATTTTTCTTGACTACTCCCGAAAGCATAAAGGTTATAAGTGTTTCTGTCCATACTCAATCGTCTTGTGTTATCTGTTGATGTAACATTCTTTAAAGATAAACCTGATCATTCTAGTTCTCCATCTCTATTATCATCGGATGAGTATGACTATTTAATCCTGCAAGAATCATTGGTTAACGATGGTGGTTCATCCGCTGACAATACTATTTACGTTACTGGAAAAGACTCATCTAGGTTTAACGTCCAATTCAAGTTTATTAACGTTGCTCAGCTCTTGCTCCTGTGCCAACATCGGCCTCAACACCACGTCCTCCGTCCGAAGAACCTGAATCAGTAAGTGCAAATTTACCCCCTTCTGCGAAAAACCTTCCTATTACACTTCGAAAAGGGATACAAACTTGTACTCAATATCTTATTTCTAACTTTATCTCCTATGATCGCCTATCCTCTATCTTTCGATCTTTTATTACTTCCCTTGACTCATATTTGGTTCCCAAGAATGTGTCAGAAGTCATGTCTATTCCAGGTTGGAACCAAGTGATACAGGACGAAATAAGAGCCTTGCAGCAGAATGAGATTTGAAAATTAGTCCCACTTCCACCAGGAAAGCGGCCCGTCAGCTACAAGTGGGTATACACTGTTAAGTTGAATCTTGATGGAACTTTGGCACACATGAAAGCCCGACTGATTGCTAAAGGGCTTGGATTACGTAGATACTTTCTCTCTAGTGACAAAAATGACATATGTTCAGATTTTTGTTTCGTTAGTAGCGACAAATCACTGGCCACTTCATCAGTTAGACATCAATAATGTATTCCTTAATGATATTCTACATGAGGAGGTTTACATGGAGCAACCACCAGTTTTTGTTACTCAGGGGGAGAATGCGAAGGTGTGTATGCTGAAAAAATCACTCTATGGTCTGAAGCAGTCTCTGAGAGCCTGGTTTGGATATTTTGCATCGATTATTTAGGAATTTGGGCTTTGTCGTGGATAAAAAGATCACTCTGTTTTCTAGCGATTTCAGGATGAGAAACGAATTCTTCTAGTTATCTATGTGGATGACATTGTAATTACAAGGGATGATGCTTCTGGTATTGATAGCCTAAAAAAATATTTACAGACACATTTCCAAACCAAAGGTCTTGATTCCCTAAAATACTTCCTAGACATTGAAGTTGCAAAGTCAACGAAAGGTATTCTTCTATCATAAATGAAGAATGTCCTGAACATGCTCTCAGAAGTCGGGATGTTAGGATGCAGAAATAATGATTCTCCAATAGATGTAAACTCAAAACTAGTACCAGATTAGGGTGAGCTTCTTGAGGATGTTAGGCAGTATAGGAGATTGGTGGCAAAACTAAATTATCTGACGGTGATCGGACCTGACATCATATTTACAGTCAGTGTTGTGAGTCAGTTTTTATCCGTACTAAGAACTACTCACTTGGATACAATAATGAGAATTTTGAGGTACTTAAAAAAGGCTCCAGGATGAGGAATTCTCTACTCAGATCAAGGACACACCAGAGTTGCAGGCTTCTCTGATGCAGATTGGGTTGGATGTCCTTTTGATAGGAGATTGACTACTGGATATTGTATTTTTCTCGGAGGAAATCTGATGTCATGGAAGAGTAAGAAGCAAAGTGTTGTGTCTCGATCCAGTACAGAATCAGAATACAAAGTTATGACAAATGTGACATTAGAGATGGTTTGGATCAAAGACCTATTGACAGATATTTGTCTCCCTTCAGAATGTCTCATGAGTCTATATGACGACAATAAAGCAACAATTCACATTGCTGAGAATCCCGTGTTTCATGAGAGAACCAAGCACATTAAAGTCGACTGTCACGAATCCGCAAGAAGCTCGAGGACAAAATCATCACGCCAAAACAGGTATCGATAGTACATCAGTTGGCAGACATTCTTACAAAACCACTTGGTCAAACACGGGTTGACTTTATTTGTGACAAGATGGTCATGATATATATGCTCCAGCATGAGGGGGAGTGTTAGAAGAGAGTATGAGTATTAGTTTAACATTAGTTTAGTCCCACATTACATGTGAGACTAATTTGTAACTAATCATCTCTATAAATAATAAAGTATAGAGTGAGGGAAAACTCTCCCAAGAAACTCTTTTCTCTCTAAATCTTAACAGGAACATAATTCAACATTTACTATTTTGGACTATTTACTTACTGATCCAACGTTATACTCTTTCCTCTAGCTTCAGACTATCATAACAATAACCATTTAAAACTTTTCTTTGGTTTTATCTCCATTAATCTTCATTCCACTAAAGCTTTTATGTATATGTCCTTTTTGCTCATACACATGAGGAGAGCATAAGTACGTCAAACTAAGAGTTGGGCATGAAAATGGGAAGTTCATCTAATCATTGGAAGTACATGCTTCTCAAGCAACAACAACAAAAAGGGTACGATAATTAGTATTTTATGGTATATTCCCTCTATTTCTAGCGCTCCACATCTTCCAACAGAAATAAAACATATCAATCTAAGATTTGATGTTTTCTAAGAATATTTTCCATTTTTCTAACATCGGCTCCACATCTTCCAACAGAAATAAAATATATCAATCCAAGATTTAATGTTTTCTAAGAATATTTTCCATTTTTTTAAACATGGACTACCTTATTTTTCTTTCATTTTGTAATTGTCTGAACTCTACAAAAACAATTAGAAATTTCCAACTCATATCTCTAAAATTTCAAACTTCAATCACATTGGAGGCCAACCAATGCTATGATAACCCCATCACAATTTAGCCCCACATCGGGTAGAGCATATGAGTGTTGAAGTGCAACTCATTAGAGTCAGCTGCACAATTGCGAGCATTTTTGGTAGTGGATCAATGCAAGTAATATCTTGCATTCAGCATCGTGCCAATAGGCCCACAGGACCCGGGCATGAGAAGTGCCTTTCCTGATTCTTTTGATACTTTTTTTCGCAAAACCTCCCAAGCTTTGCTTAAAGGATCGTCCATCCGAAATATCACTATGCGGACGACTAAACACCACGATACACAAGGAATAATTCCTCTGTTCCTTGCCCTTGATTCTTTCAGCTCATTCTTCTTAAGCCAATAAGTGCTCTAGCTCTACAAGACTCTCTCCACGAATGTTTCAATTTCCCTAACGGCTTTATGTCAGATTCAAGTTCTACAGGTTATCTCATCTTTGCATCTTGGACATGATCTCCTGTGGTTATTTCTTAGATCGAATTTAGCTAGTATACCGATTTTTAAGGACTTGACAGAGGAATATAATAGCGAGACAAAATGCAATTAATGAGGTTTTATTTGTCAAGTATACAAATAAGATTGATTTTAAAGATTCTCACAAAACAAAGAACTACCATGATAGCACCTCGCCTATTACAACAAACCTCAACTCAAAAGGTTATCTTTCTGTTTCATATTAACCATTATCTCCGACTCCTGCCTGTTCAAATTTAACAAAATGACAGAGCACATGAAACCAATTTGATAGCCAGCCTGCTAACTTCGCCAATTCCATATCTCCAAATTGGCATGATACTTGTACACAGTACTGGCTTCGAGTAGAAATCGAGAAATACTCTACCAATGAGAGAAATTAACAATTAGAAATTTTATTTAGCCCTATGATTGAGCACACGGATCGATGCACATCCGCATGCTTCGTAAACTTTGAACTTCAGCGCAATGAATGTGCAACGTTGTTCCCCAACACCTAATTTTATTCCAAGAAGAAAACTTCTGCAACTTGTTAGAATACAAAACAATGACCCTCAACCATCACCACAGCTTCGAAATTTCGATATAGTGACAGGGATTTTAAGATGATATCGGGGCAACCAGGTTATACTTATACCGCCTGAGCTAGTTATTTCTAAGGCTGTTGGTATCGTTGTTAGAATTAATATAAAACTATAATCCTTGATTCTCACCATAACTTCGGAGTTTTGGTGTAATGGTTAGAAGAACTAAATTTAAGATGGTGATGATCAATGATTATAGTTTTATATTAATTCTAACAATCGTAAAACTACTGAAAACGCAAAGTATTTACAATAAATGAAATTGGTCACAAGGCCTAAATAATTTGAATATTTTTTTTTGGGATAAAAACTAACTCGAAAATGTAACTGAAAAAAAGAATTTTAAAAAGAGGAACTAAAAAGGCGTACCAGAGTAAGGAGTGATCCAAGTGCACCTCCTCTTCACCAAGTCCGGCAGCAGCAACCACGACGCATCAACAATCCCGACCTTAACGGGTTCAGGACCCACCTTAATGGATCTAGACCCGCTATTGTTCCTCCTCGTTCTCCGATGACCCGCTTCTTTCCTCGCCAAAGATCCTCTACCAGAAGAGGAGGAGGAGGAGGAGGAAGAATCAGAGGAGCTCGATTCTTTCTCCTTCGTCTTCGCCGTTGTTGTTTTGCTAACCGACGTTTCGGGTTTCGGAGCGGATCGTTTGTCCATATTCGGCAAAAATTCGGGAAGAATTGGACGGATTTCGAAGGGAAGAGACTTGAGAGCGGAGGTATAAAAGGATGGTTTTTTTTTTTTTGAAGGGTTTAAGAAGGAGGAAGGAACCGGCCGGGACGGAGGTCACCGGCTGTAGGCGGTGGGTTTCATGACGTGTTGGTTGTATGGGTCCCAGTTCGTTTGAAATTGGGTGGGAAACCCAAGGTTGAATCCCAATGAGGTCCTTTGATCAAATTACCACGCTCTTGCGCTTGAAGTGAAAATAAATAAAAATAAAAATAATAAATAAAATGATAAAAGGCAAAAAAAAAAAGAGCGAAGGGGAAGTAAAGGCATCTCCAACAGCTTCTCTAAAATTTTCTTCAAAATGGGGAATCAAAAGTCATATTATTCAAATTATTTTTACACCAACTCCAACAGCTTCTCCATTTTGAAGAATCCATTTTTTCCTCCAAAAATTTAGAGAATGCTGCAGATTTAGGGAAGCTTCCCCATTTTTTCTCCTCCATCTCTATTTTGGGGAATGAGATGGGGAATCTGTTAGACCAAAAACCTAACTAAATTGTCCAAAAGTGAGAAATAGGGAAGCTGTTGGAGATGCTCTAAGTGCTGCCAAAATAGTTGAGGGACTACTAATTGTTACTAAACACACAGGTGAGGGGAATTATATGAGATTTATCAAAAAAAAAAAGAAAAAGAAATGAACTAATTTTCTTCTATATTCCGTTCAGAGTGCTCGAAAGTTTTTTTCCCAACAAAAGTATCTCAATAAACAAGCAACAGTGTATGAGTTTGTAGAAAAATAACAATAAAAATAGTTTCATAACTAATATAGCTGTGGATTATACTTTTGAAAGAGAAATATTACCCTCGATGAAATTATTTTATCAGCGAGAAGCGAAAACTACATTGTTTCGGAGGGTGCTTCAACTTATTAAATGTATCTATGTTTTCCTCCTTATTTTAGGCAAAAGAATAAGTGGGCTGTAGAGATTTTCTCTGGAGTTCTAGAAAAAGGGTGGGCTTAAACGCTACTATCTCATTTATGGGGAGGAAATAAATAAATAAATAAATAAGAAGGGCGAAAGAGTCATTGTGCACAAAAATATAAGAAGATGCTGGAGTTTTGCTGTTAGGCTGCTTGTCTTATTCGCTTGCTGGTGAAAACCGTTAGTTAGTAGTAGAGGTGGTAGGAGTACTCGAAGCATATACATGTAACTTGGCAAATAAGTTGTATTATTACCTTTACGATAAAGCATTCATAGTGAAGTGATGACAAGATACAAGTCAGAAAAAAAAGAAAGAAAAAATAAAATAAAATAAAAGATGATGACAAGATAGAAGGGGGGTTATATTCACATAGCCCCCTCAACTTTAGGGTGTTTCTTACATGACTCACTTGAACTACATTTATCTCACAAAGCCCCCTTGAACTTTGAACTTTTCTCATCGAACACCGCCATATGTAATTTACAAAAAATAAATAAATAAATAAAATTTACTTGTGGCAAATAATTTCAGAATTTGTCATTTACTAGCGACATATCCTCTCAACAATATTTTGGTTTCTCTCTCAAGAAAATTCTATTTATTTGCAAATTACATGTTGGGGGGGTTTAAGGAGCTTGGTAAAAAGAAAGTTCGAAGTTCATAATGGTTTTGTGAAATTAACCCTAAATGGGGGCAAAAAACGTGGCGCAAGTGCTTATGAATCTCCACACTCCACATGAAAAAAGATCTCTCAAATCTTCATGCGAACTGATAATAACACTGTATAAGGCTTGCAAAGGACAAAATGGCACTTAATTACAACGGCTATATCCTAACGTCTGAAATGCCCACCAAGGAGGCAAGGACCAAGGTTGTTGTGGTTAATAAAAGGAGTGTCTGAGAGAGACACATCTATAACATGATTAAGTTTTAGACTGTTTTGTTAATTGGTAAAATTTAATTTAAATATTAGGCAATCTACTTTAGTTTATTCTTAAGCATCTAAACTGGTTTAGTTGTGGACCAAGGGGAAGTCGGTCCTTAGCTAAACAAGTTTTTTTTCAGAACTAGTCACGCCAAAACCAGTTTAGTTTAAGGACAAGTATGACCAATTTTAATAAGTTGCCAAACACATTATCTATGAACAGGCCGGACTTAGTAGCATGTGTTAATAGTTTTTGAACACGTCTGACTCAGCAACAGATAATTTGAACATGCACAAAACGTTTTTGTGCGTACAACAAAAAGAAACATTTTTTTTTTCATCAGAGGGCAACAATCCCTAACCTACAAAAATCTATGCGTATAAAACTGCTTTACGACACTAGTTTTATGCTTCTTGCGTCACTTTAAATGACCTTTTTACAATTCTTTTTGTAAATAAGAACAATACTTTATAATGTCCGATGATGGACTTTTATTTTGGCTAAATATCAGAGACCCACCCAGCGGGCCAATCATGCTAAATATCACAAAGCCACAGTTTTCGCATGGGAGATTAAAACTAGGGAATATTTTTGCTAGTTAAAATTGTGATTAACACTATTATGGGGGTTTTCTAATAAAACATTAAAATTGAAGGGTTTTTTTGATAACCCATAACCTACGATATTTTTAAGCCTTGTATTTTCTTAACATATGCATGATGAGTACAAAACAAAATGCTATCAATAAAATTTTGATTGCTTGTGAATCCTAGAAATCAAGAGAATCCTGGTCTTTGATTCTTGTGAACATTAAGAAAGGAACATAGTCTTTAATTTACCCCGGGACTTGATATGGTAGAAGTTAGTTTTTGAATACAGCCGGTTTCGTCGACAAAAAGAACATTTTCCATACTTAGAGAGAAAACATGAATGAGCTTGGCACTGACAAAACAAAATGTTTTTTTTTTTTTGCGTTTTTGTTTTACATTAACCTTTTAACGAATTTAGAAGCGGCACAGGGAGTAGTCAGCTGCAGCTGCAGCCGCTTCTTTTTCTTTTTCTTTTTTTTTTCTTTTTTTAATTACCGCTACATAAACTATCTCGGGCATGCTATATCTATAGCCGTTTAATATGCATTTATTATCAGATAAAGATAAGCTAAATTAAGGCATTACTCAGATAAACCATCATAGATCATGTGAACGATCATCTTCATTGAATACTGCTAAATATACTACAAATTTATATTCTTCTTACACCGCAAGTGATAATTATACAAGGTCCTCAAAGATTCATGACTTTTCCAATAGCAATTCATAAGAAAGATCTCACACTTTTGTGTCTTGTATACAGTAGTATACATTTTGTAATATATTTCGCATTATTCTCTCTTGCAGCCCTCGTCGCCTCTAAAATCTCAGCTTCAGAAAGAATTTGAGACATAATCCAAGAGATATTGTAATATAGCATAAGTACCATAACATTAGCTAACCTTATAATACAAATAAAATGGTGGAACAAACACGGGTTTAATAACAACAAGAAGTACGAGTCCATGTAATGAGATTATTGCTGAACCTCAGTACCCCAACAGCAGCAGCAGTTGTAGTAAGAAGCAATATATAAAATAGAACTCCATGTCCATTCTCAACATGTTAAGCCTCCGCAAGCACTTAACTGAAACAAAATAATCCTCGTCGAGATAAAAGATTTAACTTTCAGGCAGCCAAAATATGAATTTAAGACGGAAATACCTTGGAGCCATTGAAGCAATCAAGCAGTAATAGCAATGGGCTCGGTTGCTTTCGTTAACCATTCCATCTCCAGTTCATTTAAGAGTGGTGCTAGGATGCTTCGGCAGTTAGCATGGTACGAATTTACCCATTCTCTCTCTTCTGGGGTCATCAACTTCAAGTCCATCAGTTTCTTCTGGTATGGTGCCTATAAAATTCGAGTATATCAGTGAAAAAAGCAAATGCACAAAAATAATACTAGACTGTCAAAGTTACCTTTAAAAGCAAAACACTATTCATGCTGCATTAGACACTATTCATGCAACAGTACAAACCAAGCTATTTAAATTTACTGTTCATACTACCTTGTTATTTTAAGGCTTAGACGTACTGATCGTGTGATTTTTTTTGTAAAACTTATGCTACAGTATTTTGATCTTTAGTCATGCTCTTTATGTTACAGTGAAAGCTTTGGTCCTTTATCCATCGTTCAATGTGGAGCAAAATTTTTTAACCTTGAAAACACTGTTCATACCTAATTTTTGTGTTTCTTGCATATGATGATTTTAACCTTTATTAGACATTTCACAAATATAAATCTTTTCTGGCTCTTTTAATGAAATTTGATAAAAATTGCTAATTGATATATTATTTTGTTAACTGCTTTGGAGATTCACTTTGTAGATAGTAATAAAAAAATTTCTTGCTAAAATTTATATAAATAGTTGTATCTAAAAACCATACTATCAATTTGGTGACAAATATACCTCTGTAAATAATACCCGCAGGAGCATGCGGGCTTAATACTAGTAATCTCATAAAGAAAGACAGTTGCAGTAACAGGAAAACTATAGATATTATATGCTATTTTTCTAGGAAAAGGGAGGAGAAATTTGAATGCTGTATACCTAAATATTATGACCAGTGTGGTAGGTTTAACAGATGTGGAATTTGAAAGGAGAAAAAAATTGTGGGAGAAGAAGGGATAACGTCTTGTGCCATCATGCAGTATCAAATAATTACATATGTTTTCCCAAAAACAATTACAACATATGTGAGGATCAGGTATATCATACAGTTGGAAAAAAACAGTTAACTTGCATACGTCTAGTTTATACTAGAAGCGAATTACTTCAGATGGTATAGAAGTATTACTGACATCTACAAAGATGCAGGGGGGGAAATCGGTTAGTTCGAAGCTGATTGTTGCAAACAAGCCTTCAAAACCATAACCAAAGATGACATGATGACTAATCTACAAAATGAAATGAAGAATACTCTTTAACGTACTAGGTTATTTTCCTTCCTATGAAAATGAGATGCAGGCATACTGAATACGCTAAGAATCTTGTATCTTACTATCTTCGTGACAAGAACAGGTGGCTAGCAGTGGAGTAGAACTCATCCAATATGATAAAAAGTAGTAGTTTTCCTAGGCACAGGCGGATTGTACCAATTTCCTCATGCTCAAGCATTTAAGAGTCCATTTAGAAGTGAGAGACTTGATGGACGTGATATCTTAACGAAAGAGACTTGATGCACGTGATATCTTGACGATTCTCATTCCAAAAGGAAAAAGAAAAAGCAGAAAAGTAACAAACTTACCCATGTGATGTGCTCAAATGTTAAATAGCCTTTGTCACCAAAATTAAACTTTGTATTAGCCTCTTTGACTATAAGGACGTTCTCCAATCTTATACCAAAGTTCCCATCTTCATAGTAACCAGGTTCTGAAAGAAGAAAAAAACACAAATTTGAGAAGCCTTCAATGCAAACATATCTGATGATTAACATACAAGTGCAAATTAAAACATACAAGCTAACAAAGAAGAATACGTAGGTACTGAAGTGACATGCAACGATCAAATATGTATTTACTGGATATATAGATATTCAAGTGAAGTATACAAAGACAAGAAATGCCCTGCAATCTAACGGATCTTTCATAGACAAAAATCTCTAATATTTTTTTTCTTACATTTCTGAAAATATACATACATTAAGTAAAATAAAATATTTATACGAAAAAGTATGCAGTTCATAGCGGGTTGTGGTACAAATTCGGGTAGGGGTGTAGCTTGCTTCAGTGCGCAAGTTCAGTAGGTGGCACGTCGTAAAGTATTTTTAGATGGGCTTACCATTTTCTGAAATGTATAATAGAAAACTAGAAATTAGAAAGATAATTATGCATTTCAATATTGTTTCATACAAAATACTTAAATGCTTCTTTTTTATGGAGTTTGTTCTCTTTTTTTGAGACCATCCTCTGCATTTTCAGTGACTTTCTATTTTCTTCTTCCTTTTTTTTTCTTCTTGAGTTCATTCTTTTTTCTGTTTTTCTTCTCACACAGTTCGTGTTGGGGTGATGGTTTGATTTCATGTTTTATTAACATAGGCATTGAGTTACAGTATAGTCATTGACTCATATATTCTATTGTTATTGTGCACCCTTTTTCACTCAATTGCGCACATAGCATTGCGTTTTGCGCATGTGCACTTATGGACTTTGTGCCCCGTATACTTGTAAATGGTTTGCCAATTTTGGGAACCAATTCGTGTATCAGCCAAAACCAATTCGCATATATACCGCGAATCGGTAGAACCGTACGACGGTTCAAGGGGGTCCAGGGGACTACGCAACTATGTAATGAAGCATGACAAAGTTTTTCCTCCTGATCTGCAATTATAAAAGCAAACTTGTACAGCTACCATCCTATAGTACACAACTATATGAATGAAAAACGAAAAGGTAGTAATAAGCATTTACATGATTAACCGATGTGCTTTCACAGTTCTTTCACAAAGAATGTCTGTAATTATGAAGTAAACTTGTACAGCTAGCTACCACCCAAGAGTTCCCAGATACATGAAGTAAAAGAAAGGATGTAAACAAGCATTTGGAACATTTACCAATGTCATTTTCACAGTTTCTTCACAACGAATTTTCATTTTTAAAGATATCAATACCATAAAGCAAAAGCAAAACTTACCTCTAAAATACAATTAATTATGGTTCACATAAAGATGCTGAAATGTGGAGAACTATGATTTTTTAAGCAAATCTACGAAAATCTATTTATAAATTTCCAACATCTCTTAATACATGCACAATGTGAGTGAGACAAGTGATAGTAATGGTAGTTCAACTTGTTCGCAGTAGTAGGCAAAGGCAACTTGGAAGTGCAATGAATGAACAGTTGGGAATTAAGGTAGAGGAGTGTAGCTGGCAGCCAAAAGAAAGAATAGGCTCCCAATACAATAAAAACTAAAAATAACAGAAGAATCAAAAAGTCAAAAGTAATGCCAAAAGAACGAATGGCTCAGATGAAAGAAAATGGTTACAAAGATGTGGATTTTATGGAAGAAGATGATATTCATAAGAATTCTGTAGCAGATACATGAAGGAAATAAGGTAAATTTTTGGGTTAAGTTCAGAATGGGAAGTAGGAAAGACGAGAATGATAACAGTAGTTATGACAAAGGATGCTGAAAACTCGCATAATACCAAAATTGGGGAATACTAGGAAAACAAAAAGTATACATTTTCAACCAATGAGAGAGCTTAGACATCAGAATTTGTAGATGCAGAGAATCCACTGTCTCACACAGGCATGGATACAGGTTTCAGGCAAGAAAATTGCTCAAAATCTATGCACAAGGAAACAACTATATATGTATTATTCATTATATTTATATATAATGCTTTCCTTATTCACGATGTTCCATGTTATAGTTCTCAAAGTGTAGCATCAAGTTGTCCTTCTCATGCTTCCCATATCCATATCCATGCTTTATGTCTACTGATTAAGTACCTATGTTACCTGGCTACTTCCATCGGGAGTCGTACCCGACACATACCTGTACCGGAACTTTGGACACTCTTGAACATGCGCATACATTTAGTCAGGCATATACTCTAGTACATGTTTTAATTTAAAACATTCCTCGTCCACTTCCTTGACATATATCCTACGTTTCACATATATTTTTTAAATAGTGACCTTATGTAAATGAAAAAACAATATCGACCTGATGTAAATTATTAATTTTAATACATATAAAAATGCATAACATACATATATATAGCCGTGTCCCCGTGCCCTACAAATTTGCCGTGTCCCGTACTGTACCCATTACCAATACCCCTATCCTTACCCGTACCCAATGTAACTTAGTTAAGTACAAATACTCAAGGGTTAAATGAAACTCCATCAGTAAATGTGCGTTTTCATCTTTTTATCTTTTTAAAACTCACTTTCCACACAATTTTTTGTTTCATTATTTATTAAGACAGCTAATTTAGAAGAATACATGTGCTGAGGAAGATATTATGGTGGATTTTAAAAAATGATATATTATACTACAAAGCAATAACCAAAATGATGAAGTTAATGTCATTTGCTATCATCATATATTATACCAAGTAACACACCTAAGCACTTATAGCTATGTGTTGCTTATGGAAGTCAAAACCAGGAAACAGCATATGTTCCAACCTTACGTTGAAGCTTGAAGTAGACTGATTTTTCACTTCATTGCAATAATAAATGCACATGCAAAATAACAAAAAGAGAAGACATGAACTCAACTAGATAATTCACAAGGTATTGATGATATATCCTTTTATAAGGAAATGCAATAACACATTTTTTTGATTGGAAATCAGTTTCTTAGTTGCTGTGCTTTGCTCATTGTCTTTTACATAATTTCTAACAGGAATTTGGAACCATTTAAAAGACAAAAGTTTTTGCAAGTCTCAAAGGGCCTAGTCCCCATTATAATGATAGTAAAAGGCTGCAATCATGATGTTGATTCATATAATGCGAGAAGCAAATCAAGACATCAAACATGTAGTACAAAAAAGAAGCAAGCTACAGATGATTGGATCATACTAACCATCAGTCACAGTCATGGATGCTTGCAATGGCACATTCCGAGCATGTGGTCTGAAACTAATTAAATGTGGTCCTGTTCAAGAAATATCTCAAGATAAGGACTGCACAGACATATCACTGAAGGAAATAGGAAAAATTAAGGCACTGTCATACCTTCATGAACATTCAAGTAAGATCCAATCCCATGACCAGTGCCATGTCGATAATCAAGACCATCCTTCCATAGCGGGATCCGTGCAAGAATATCAAGAGCATGTCCTGTAATAAGTGGCCTTATACATCAATAAACTTAGGGAATTCTTACTACAGTTTTGAACTTTGATAATATTCATACCGCTAGTTCCATTAGGAAATCGTGCAGTATCCAGGGCAATATGACCTTTAAGGACCTATTCAGAAAGAAAATCAACCATGAATTAGACTGTGATGTTAATCCGTACTGTATATTCTGCAAGCAAAAAGTTCGCGAGCAAAAAAAACACCACATAATGTGACTTCTACCACAGGGCTAACTATGAGATGCATGTAAAAAACTTGTATTATAAAACTAGCATAGGAAACCCAATCATTATGGTCTACATTCTTGCAATGATATAACAACCCAGCCCAAAACAAGCAAATTTTTAACCTGGTCCATGACATGCTATTGTTTCATCTGAACTATAGAGATTTATGGCTCCCACAGCCGTGTCTAACAGAGGTTTGACACCGACACTCTATGAACAAGCCATGTGCACCGCGTCCAGAACACACTAGTCATGTCCACCAAAAATTTTTATTTCTAGATACAAGACATATGAAAACTATATTTTTAGTTGGGCAATGGTTTAACCTGTAACCTAGTTACTTAATAACTAAAAAATAAGAAATTCTTCGCCGTAGGTAAATAGAATTTCCTATATTATTTTTTCGATTAGTTTTAACTATCATTAAAACTTTGGAACTTTATGAATTAGTTTTAATACTAATCTGTAATTCAGGAGATTCATTAGATATTTTTTATGTATATTATGCAACATATTAAATATTTACCAAATATGTATAATAGCCGTGTCCACAAACCATACCCTTACAATTTTCCATGTCCGTAACTGTACCTGTACTGCGTATGCGTAATAATTGTGTTTGAACAAGGAGTTTATTTGCAATAAATTCCTTAAAAATAATTGGGCATTGATCCCCCCTTTCTATGATTTTTTAGGATGCAGAAGGATGAAAGACGATGTCTAAGAGAAGCCAAAAGGTATAGCTTCTCCAACATGCTGAAGCTACCAATCAACTAAACTCCCTGCCCCTCCCTCCCGATCAACTCGACATGTGAATATATGCCTTTACAAAGGGCTCTTCTACAGGCAAAAGGAACCCTTAAATTTGGAATTATCTATACTTACGCTTAGCAATTATATGCCTTTGTAACAATAAAATAAAAAAACACAAATTTAAAATGTCACGATATTGAAGAAAATGGGTCGAGTAAGGCAGTGTACTCAGAAAGGGCAATAGATACTAATGTTATAAAAACAAAGTGAGGTGTTGGACATATGAAGGTCAGACATAAATCAAAAAGAATTATAATTACATTTAACTGCATATTACCTAGGCCGCCTAACTAGCGCCTAGCGCCTAGACGGTATTTAGGCTGTCCATCTAGATTTTACGAGCGTTTAGGGGAGCATTGTCTGCTTATGTGGATTGCACCCTATAAGCCTTGATTGTGATTTTATGTGTCGTAGCCTACACGTCCTCCAAACTCCATTAACCTCTAAATGTGAACATCTCCACTACCTCCTCCGACCTTCAGCAAAACCTCATCGATCACCACTTAAATGAAGAAAGAAAAAAAAAGGTCCAGAAACTGCTTAGACGCCCGCCTAGGCGACTAAGCGCTGGGCGTCAAGTCCGACGCCTAGAAGCGCCCAGCGTTTAGTGTAACACTGTATCCTACTATTAATGTTGAAATTACGAGAATAACAAACTTACGGCTGTATAGCATGCTTTCTCATGTGCAGAAGGTTTCCCAAAATGAACAGTCCTTGTTATATCAGTTGTTCCATCTTGATACTTAAGAAAGAAAGAAAGAAAAACTTTTAGCAAAGGCCTAGAACTGGGATAAAGAAAGAACTTCAAATAGCTGAAAGAGAATGACAACTAAATTTTTAAGATGTTACTGACCTGTGCCCCAGAATCAAATAGGTAAATACTATCTGCATCAAGTTCCGAACACGTTTTTGAATCTGGTGAGTAATGAATAATTGCTGCATTTGGACCAACTGAGGAGATGGTTGGAAAACTCAACCCTTTAAAGTTCTGTGAGAAAACCATGAAAGTACAGTATGCAAGTAAATAAGCTGAAATATCGGAAGGCAAGTACATTTTTAAGCAATTCAGCCTTCACATGTGCAGGACTTTTAACGCCAGTTGATAGTGTTTTATAGCATTACATATATTATACACAGGAAAAACTCTATCACATAATATTCTCAATGAAGAGATGTTTTTTATCACAAAAAAAAAAGGAAATTAGTAAACTAAATGGATACAAGTTCCATCAACAACGTGATCACATCTAGGCTGCATTCATTGCCCAACTCCAAATAGTTTTATACTGTCACACACAAATGCTATTGATACCTTTCCATCAGTTCCTGCTTGACCTTTATCCATCGCAACTCAAATACTGTTGAGAAAAAACAAAATAGAGGGGACAAGGGTTACCAGAGATTCTTTATTCCACCCTATACATGTGCTACAATTATTAGACTTTGCCTGCAATTTTAATAGATGCCTTTCTTTTTATTCCCTTCCATCATTCCTTAAGTCCCATAGGTTTGTTGATCCTGTAGAATCTGACCCATGGATCCATCAAAAAAATTTATCAACATTTCTATTTTTTTTGTTATGCATTTTTCATTAGTTTGACGCTTATTCTTATCAACCAATGAAACACCCGGACCTATGAATGGGAGTATTCTCGATACTCACAAAGAAAAAGGGAAGTGACTTGGACAAAAAGGGGAGTGACTTGGACTAAAAGAGAAGTGACTTGGACAAAAGAAACGAAATGACTTAGAACCCATGAGTCTAAAGCTTCCTTCGTAACTCCCAGAACTTCTTCGTAGTGGCTCCGTTCCATGCCTCATTTCATAGGGAACCTCAAAGTGGCTCTATTTCATTATATTCCATCTATATCCCAATTCTATTTCCTGATGTTAGCAATGTACAATGGTCAAATAGGATTATTTTCTTCTCGAGACCTTTTACTTTTTTCCTTATGTGGGAGTTAATTAATTATGTTACTAAAACTTTTATCCATGTGGTGTGTTGGGGGGTGGGGGTGGGGGGGTGGAACGTATTGGTTTATGTAATCGATTTTGTGTGGGGCTTTATTTTTCTTTGCTACTTCCCAACCCAACTCAACCTAATAATTTTGGACTTTACATGTGTTTCTACTACTCAATTCAACTCAACCTTAAAAATGTATCGACTTACATATCAATCTACTTAACCTAATAAATGTATATGGGCTTACATAGTCACATTTCATTGCTAATACTTGTCAAAACATAAATATTGGTATTTACTTCTTTTGTCATTACCAAACCCACCCAACTGCGTACCCTTTGAAGTTTTTTTTTGGTTGGGTGGGGGGGGGGGGGGGGGGGGGGTTGGTGCCGGCAAACAAACCAGCAGACTACAACTGCTGGAAATTCTAGATAGAAACAGACAAATGAAAAAGAAAAGGGAGAAAGGGAAGTTATCACTATTCACAAAGAAATTCTTCCTCTTGCTAGAAAAGGTTGGTCCCCACTTCTTTCATTTTGAAAAAAAATTAGACATAAACATTGGATTGATAATAAGAAAAAAATAAACATTCAAACTATGAAAGTTACGATTTCTGTTCCGGATGCAACTTGGAAATTTGGATTCTTTACTTTTAAATATTCAATTTGATGATTTACAAGCATTTTATTTGATTGGAAATTAAGAATGTATGAAAATTGATTCAAAGTGAATATGAAAACTCATGGACATTGGATGTCAGATTTTTCCATGAACTTTGCTAGTTTAGAACGTAAGAGGAAAATATTAGGTTCCTCTATCGTTTTAAGTTAGTTGTTTTTATATTCTGTGGTTTTGAGCATAATTTATGTTGACATATTTGTGTGCGTACATACAACGAGTGTGTGCATGCGCACATGGATGGATCCATAATTTTTTTCCCCACGGGGTTACATATACAAATTATACACATAAATTAACAACTTAACTAATATAAATTCCAATGTTTTAAAAAGCAAGGCCTAGTCCTCCTAGGCCTAAGTGGTACCTAGGCCACCTCAGGGAGTGTGGGTCACTTACGTGCAGTGCACCACTTAAGTCCTGATCGTGATTTCCTCAGCCTCTGCATCCTCCAACCTCCTCCGAACTCCTCCAGCCTCCTTCACTAACTATGAACACCTCCTTACCTTCTCCGACTTTCAGCACTTAAAACAAAGAAAGAAATCCGCTTAGATTCTAGGCACCGGTCCACAGTGCATAGCACTTTATTTAACATTGATATTTATTTTCAATTATTAACTCAAAAAAAAACACCTAGGCTCTAAGCTTTGGGTCCGGCATTCGTTGCTTTACAAATTTCATTCCGGAGAAAGTTTTTTTAGTGGTTGCAACTACAATTAGTAGCATCACATCTAACTTCAAAAGCAGATATACCAACGGGTATGGAATATGCTTCTTTGTCTTGACAAAAAGTTTTAAGAGATCACTGATTCCCTCAAGTTCTAAGAATCTCCCATCGATGCACATCTATAGTGTTTCGAGTTGACTATCACTGTTTTAAATATCGGCCGATAATCGATATTATCGGCCGAGTTATCGGATTTGGGACCTCTCCGCTAGGATAAATTTGATTTTTAATCGGTTATCGTTTTTCTAGGTTTATCGGCGATTTATCGGCGTTATCGGCACTTATCGGCCGATAAGTAAGACTTTTTTATCGGGATTATCGGGATTATCGGCCAATTTGGACTAACATTATATTTTTTCAAGGCTATGATGCAAGTTTCGCTTTCTACAGTTAGTTAATGATTCTAAACATGATGATTTACATTTTGGTATGTTTATATTTCATTAAGCATGATTAGATTATATTTTTTAATTGTTATATTATATATACACATCATTTAGTATATCACTCCGATAAATACTACTTATCCCCGATATATCCCCGATTTCCGCTATCCGATAAGGATTTTGGCCGTCCGATAAATCCCCGATAACCGATATTTAAAACCTTGTTGACTATCAAGCACAACATGTTCTACTGAATAAAAATCAAATAGATAATATTCAGGAAAACCAAACTAAGTTACTTTATCAAAAGAAATGATTGAGTGAATCAAATACAATCTATTATTGCAGTCAAGCGCATTCAATACTCTCTTTTCGCTTGATCGAATTGCATAGAAATTGCAGCTTTAATGTGTTGCCTCTGATTCATTAAAATTTGATATTTTCACTGTTCGGGCCTCCAATATGAGCTTGAGATCTTTTTGTTTTGTCTTGTCAATTTGTGAACTCATTAACAACAAAAGCACCTCCACCCTTTTTCTCCTCTCGCATGCGATAAGCTAAACAAAATGTTGCATCTTTCAATACATTATACTCTCACCAATTAGCATACCTTTTGAACCATTCACAAATGGAGCATCGTACTTTCTTGTTAAGTGTTTGGAGGAAACTTATACTCTCCTGGTTAACACAGACTCTTAATAATATAGGCTCTTTAAATTATTTCACGAATAGGAAGGATTAGTTTTTTGTTTATCTTACATTCTGCCAATT